CTTGAAATTATATTACGATCGATTTTCATCAAGAAATGGGCCAGGAATTTTCCACAATAGTGCAAATAATCGTGAAGGTTGATCGAGGAAAAGCGATTGCGTGACGCTCGGTAAGCTGTAAGATGACATGTTATTATTTACCAGACGTAAAAACTCTTCAGATTCTCAGTCTGCATTTTGTTCCCACTCTGCAGTCTCCAGTCTATATTTTGTATCCGGTCTGCTGTCTGCATTTTGTACTAACAGGTATCTGTGGCACCAATACAGTTTACTTTTGGTTACATTTATTCGCACAACACACATAATCTATCACAAAATACCTGTGTGTGAGGTAATTCGACATTTTCGTTCTTTTCCACGTTAATACTCTTCTTTCCTTTTGTAAGAATGTAGACCACAAGTAATCCACCCACCCTACAAAAAATAACTCTTGCATGCATATCATGCCTATGTTTTAAAATAGGTGTATGCCCTTAGCCAGACTTGAGCTCACTATTTCAGTATACTAATCCGACACCCGTAGTATCACTACACTTGATTCCAAGGATCCAGTACCATCCAGGTATCCCAGTTACCCTGCTCACAGGGTCTAGTTTTTTTTTTCCTCCGCCACAAAATGGAAAAATTGCGCAATAGTACCCAGAGGTCATTGGGCCCTCAACACCATGACAACTAACTGTGATCCAATGAGGTGTTCACATACTGATCACGCGTGTTATCCCTCAACACCATGACAACTAACTGTGATCCACTGAGGTGTTCACATGCTGATCACGCGTGTTATCTTGATGATGATTGACGTTGTCATGCACAGACAGGGCCGGGTCACATGACGAACACGAGATTTTGCTTATAAAACTCTTTGGTCAGTTGTTTTTTATTTCAACGTATTTGGATTGCGATCTCCTGGAGCATTATGGCGCAAACGTGCAAAATACTTACAGACGCATATACAAGTCGTATTAATCGCGGCTAATCCACACTGAAAGATGTTATGAAGCGGTAATTTTGGAACAGATTGAGTCGCGAACGCTTGAAAGCCTTGAATGCCTTGTATGCTAAGTATGCCGATGTCTTAGTTGAAAGACGTTCACTTGTTGTAAAAAGCAAAATCTGAAATCTGAAACCAAACTGCATATACTCTATGCAATCTATTGAACAACGCTACTACCGTGAGACTGAAGTACATAACTATAAGGGATGCAAACTGCTTGTAAAGAAAGACGACATGTTGGATTCACTTGATGGCAAGGAACGTAGCTACGATAACAGTACGAATGGTATTAATTTCACGATCAGAAAGGTGAATATTATGTTTGTTTTCATTGTAGTTGTATGGATATTCTTTTTTAATAAATACGTGATCCAAAACCCTGTGTTTTTTGTGTATAATGTTATTATGTTAAATATTGTTTACGCAATTGTCTTGTCACAAGCGGCCCAAGCTCACGTCTCGAGAAAAAGCCAACGATTAATTCATGAACGCGTCACGCGTTTCTGGCGATTTCTGCCGTTTTAAGCTTGCTTTACCATCACTGTTATTCACGTCATCTACTTTTATTACGTTGGTAAAATCTGTACAGACATCACACAAACCAACTCGCGCGCAAAGTAAGAAGACTATATTAAAGGCTTGAAATAAAATTGCGATCGATTTTCATGAAGAAATGGGCCAGGAATATTCCACAATAGTGCAAATAATCGTGAAGGCGGATTGCAGAAAAGCGATTGCGTGACACTCGGTAAGCTGTAAGATGACATGTTATTATATACCAGACGTAAAAACTCTTCAGATTCTTAGTCTGCAGTCTGCAGTCTATATTTTGTATCCGGTCTGCAGTCTGCTGTCTGCATTTTGTACTAACAGGTATCCGTGGCACCAATACAGTTTATTTTTGGTTACATTTATTCGCAAAATACACATAATCTCCTACAAAATACCTGTGAGTGAGGTAATTCGACATTTTCGTTCTTTCCCACATTAATATTCTTCTCTCCTTTTGTAAGAATGTAGACATCACTCACAATGTTTCAAGTAATCCACCCACCCTACAAAAAAGGAACTCTTGCGCCCATAGCATGCCTATGTTTTGAAATAGGTATATGCCCTTGGCCAGACTTGAGCGCACTATTTCAGTATACTAGTCCAACACCCGTAGTATCACTACACTTGATTCCAAGAATCCAGTACCATCCAGGTGTCCCAGTTACCTTGCTCACAGGGTCTAGTAATGAACATAAATTTAAGATTAAGAGTTCTATGTAAAGTATTGCTCACCTTGATATTCGAGTCAAGATTACATTTACACCTTTTTCGATACACTGGTTTATCTTTAAAATTCCAAGCAAGTCTTATTACCATTAAAAGTCTGAACAAGCACAGCAATTAGAGCTTTTCCGCGTATGTGTTCTGGAATGTGCTTATCAAATCATGTCCTCCCATTACTCACTGATATTTTCCGAGGAATCTGGGGGGAGGCAATTACCCCATTCACACCAGCAAAACATGTTTTGTTAAACTGGTTTTCATTGAATGAAAATTATAAACAGAGAACTGAAAAACTTGATTTTCCATTGGATTCAAGTACTTGCTAACTTGCATTTCCAATGTGCTACATTCAAGTAAAAAATATTCGGTTAAATAGTTTCTATGAAGAAAAAAAAAATTAAACTGTGTTTAACAAAACAACTTTTAAACATGTTTAAGCTTTGGTGTGAATGGGGCAAATGTTTGGGTGACTTGGGTTTTCGCAAGTCACGCGATTCACTTGTCGGGGTAAAAAGTGACTTCCTGAAAGTTACCGCTTCTCGAAAGCACACTTGATTACCGATTACGTTTTCATACGTTATGATAAATCCGAGGGAAAATACAAATGGAAAGTTTTACCAATCCTTACTCAAATAACTCTATGAAACTGTAATAGAGAAGACGAGGTGAAAAATTAAACACACCTTGTATAGCCATCGCAAAGCTAGGAGTTCGAAAGCAAAAGTATAGCAACCTTGCCCTAAATATCTTTTTATTCTACATTCATAATACGACTTACGTATGGTTATTCAACTTCGATTTTCAGGTAAAATAAAAATCTCATTGCCCCCTGATCACATTCCTAAAACCTTTTTGACACATTTCGAAGTAGCTTCGTTCATTTCCATCCGTTTTCATACCTGGTTTTGGTTGACAAATTGTTTGACCGATTTTCAAGTTTCATTTTTCAATTTAAGTGCAGCTCTATCATTTTCAAATTTGATCTTCCACTGAGTGGTAGGAGAAAAACTATTTTCACGAAGTTTGTCATTCTGTTAACATCTCAGTCTATCGATAGCATGCCGTTATAATGAGAGGGTTACCTACCTAGGAATAACAGTGACGGCAAAACAAGCTTAAAACGTTAGAGAACACCGGAAACCACGACGGACACACAAGATGTAAGTAAGTTCTATTCATTTTACTTATGAAATGTTCATACTTCGAAATATTTATCGTAGCAAATCGACCATGTTTCTTTCCCCACACTTTTCCTACCGTAACTAAACACCGAGTCACACAACACGTGACGCTTTCATGAATTAATCGTTTGCTTTTTCTCGATACACGTGAGCTTGGGACACCTGTGATAAAACATAGTGGTCCGATTGGTTCGTCGTGATGACCTTCGCTGACATCACAGGGCTCAAAAGTGTTCCCTTTTTTCTAATTTGATATAAATTAGTTTAGTGCACTTCTACAATTGCAAAACGGAGCACTTAAAAACAGAACTTATCACTGAGAAATCAACCGTAAAGGATTAATATATAAAAATCAGGAGATAGAGTTAGTGTCTTACAATGTGCAATGTACAGTCACAATGGAACATGTCACCTAAGGAACAATTCCAGCTTCTTTAATAAGAAAGATATAATATAACCATGACTTAACTGTAACTCAATTGACAATTTTGAGAGTACAACCAATAAAATACTGTATTAAATTATTTTACAATTCAGAGCTAGCGATATACTTGTCAAACAGTCTCCCTTCTTCCATCAAACTCAACTGACTTTTGAAAGCTCTGATGACTGAATGTCAACCACAATGTAATATTTACATTAATCTGAAATGGAATGTTTAGAAATTTAGGCAGGCAGAAGCCTGTCCCCAATTAACAAACAGCTAAATTCATTCACAGCATCTTGAATGCCATGAAAATAAGAAAAATATTGATCCTTAATCACGAAATTGAAATTCACATTGTTTTTTTGCTTTTATTAAAGAATTCAACCTGTAGTTATGGTTTTGCTCTTTGCCACATTGAAATATCTATGATTTTCTGAAGAATGGCTGCATTGAGGACCTCTTACATTTATATCAAAAGAAATGACAGTCAGCCTAATGAATTAGTTAATTGCCAAGGCAGCACATAACCATTAGCTTACTAAACTAAAACATGACAAAAAATACCTCAGTCTCTAACTTAGTGACATGAAAACCAAATTTTGAAGCCCAAAGCTGTAAATCAAAACTACAACCAACAATATTGGACATCAAAAAATAACCTAAAATATATCCAAATCCAACAATCAATTTCAAGGATGAGACACACTAACTCCAGATGAACATCCCACATGTTCTTAGTGATGTTGCGGAAGGGAGTTACCATGTTGGTGAGGGTACCAATTTACCTAAGCTAAATGACTCTAAAAATATATTTCCTTATCTTTTGTCCAACAGTTGATTGTTTGTTCATTTGATCACAACACTGAAGTCTCCTACCATTGGTCAGAAACCAACCAAACCAACCAAACCAACCAATCATCTTGAAATGTGCTTTGTTTAATCAGGTTTCCTAAACTTTTTTTCAAATTTTGTTCAACACAATGACTACAACTTAGGTATTGACTTCTCTAACTGAGCAGATCTGAAGGAATTCTATCAATGGATGGACTGGTCTGGCCTGACAGTTCTGACCAATGGTAAGTTTCCTTAGTTTCAGGTGGTCTACTGAGTCAGTCCTAGTCAGTTACGTTTCCAGGCAAGACCCAGGCTCCTCCTCATCACCTGAGTCGGTAACTGACCCAGGATCCTCCTTGTCACCTGAGTTGGTAACTGACCCAGGCTCCTCCTCGTCACCTGAGTCGGTAACTAACCCAGGATCCTCCTTGTCACTTGAGTCAGTAACTGACCCAGGATCCTCCTTGTCACCTGAGTTGGTAACTGACCCAGGCTCCTCCTCGTCACCTGAGTCAGTAACTAACCCAGGATCCTCCTTGTCACTTGAGTCAGTATCTGACCCAGGATCCTCCTCATCACCTGAGGCGGTAACTGACCCAGGCTCCTCCTCATCACCTGAGTCAGTAACTGACCCAGGATCTGACTCTTCTTCTGATTTGCTCCAGTACTCATCTGTTGGCCATTTTTCTTCAGGTTTGACATTCCCTTTGCGATCCTGTCATAAATCACAAACCAACAATCAACATCATCTTGTCAAACAACATACACCTGTACTCCAACTTGTTTACCCTGGTTACTTTTTATATGAAGAGAAATTATGCCATGAGCATGTTTGACTGAGTCAATTTAAAACAACTTTTATATTAAGGAACGTTCCTTGTAAGAAAACATCACAAGGCTCACCAAAATTTAGATATATTCCAATTACATCCATGGTGGGGCCCATACTGATTATGTTATCAGAGAAATAAGTTGAAGTGTTCGAAAAATATACATAACATCAAAGTGACCACCTCTCCTAGAGTCTTATAGGTACTTGACCTGACAAGCCCCTGCAGAGAATACAACTAAAGGTAACCTTTTAAGGAAAAGTCTCCGTAGTTCATGTGAGAACGAGGAACTGCTGGTGTCTCCTCTTTAAAGGTTAGGAATATTTACTTAGTGGCTCATCCACAGCTAGTACTCATTTTCAAACTTAGGAAACTGCAAAAGTGGACATTATTTGTGAGCATTTCAAATGCTGCAATATTTTTTTAGTTCAGCAGCTCATCAGCTTAGCAGTCTGCTTAGTAAGTTAATATAAAAAATGTAAAGACATCACCAGTTAGGGCAAGTTTGATTCAGACAGATGTAACCTTCATTATTATTTTTACACAGGCTGATTAACATGAAATTCTTTGGATAGAGTAGGATAAAAACATAATTGATCAAAGTAACTGCAAACCATTGACATTAGAGAATCTCTGCCTGCGAATTTGAACCAGTATCTCTCTTACAGCGGTAGCATTCTTTCTCTGCTACTTTTCAAGTGGAAGCCATTGGTCATTTCTTTTCTAATCGACAATGTTCCTGGTAACTTTTGGTTAGGACCAGAGGGAGAAGAGGAAAATCTGTGTGAAAGGAAGTTTAAGGGAAAAAATTCTGTGGTGCCTTTACAGCATTTTTTCAAAACCTAATTGATATAGTAAACCACTGAGTTAATCAATCAAATAAAATTTACAGATTTATGCTAACCTTCCTTCTACAAAACTCCCAAATACTATTCCAGAAGCTCTTTCTAAGGGAATACTCAGGTATTACAATTTTTTTTTCTCAGAGCGTCCAGAAACACACCACATTTCCTTTGAAGTTTAGCTTTTCCTCCATCAGAGAGAAGCTTGAATCAGCTTTAAAGTATGACATTGTTTAACAACTCCTAAGAGCTGTAAATAAAACAAAGTGAAAAAACTAGGGTCTCAAATCATTTCTTACAGACAGATGCTCAGTTCATGGTAAGTACAAGCAATTGTTTACTCCCTCCATTCTGTTGCCCTTACGGAAATCAAGACCATTTTCCGAAGGAAAAGAATAGCTAAACGAATAAACAAAAGTAATATCTGAAAACACGCGGCCGTCCTCACATTCAAGCGCACAGAGTGGTAACGCATTTGCTTTCGTTTTACTTTATTTTCTCCTTTTTTCTCTGGTCCTAATTATAAAAGGAATAGATTTATCGAGGTTAATGGGATGAATTAGGAATGAAGTGTATCCTGTTTCTGTGTTTCCACTGTAGACACACAAAATAATATTGTTTAAGACACTCAAAAACAGACTACACCCTTCAGAATTCACCCTTCTTCAAACGTAAACAAAGATACTTAAATGGGCTCTCATCTTCACTGAAAAAAAATGACTTGCTTTGCTTCCAAGTTTAACAGATTAAATGGTAGCGACAAAGAGTGACTGTGTAACGTTCTCATGCATGTAAGCCTTTTCAGCAATTCGGAATGTAAAACTTTTTAATTGAAATCGTTAAAATCATTAAAAAGCCACAATATTTGCTTCGCTTTGGATTTCCTCTCTTACGAACCGTTTGCGAGTCGGCTTGTTGCGACAAAATACAAAAGAATGTTATGAAAGCATGATTAAAACGGAACGAAATTGAGCTGCGAATTACCCTTTGGCCAGCAATACGGATAATGGACTGGGCTTTTTCTTTTCTTTTTTTTTTGGGACTGGGGATTCTTAAGGAATCTAAAGAAGATGCTCCATTTCAGTTCAACTTTGACTGTTGCCCGCTCAAGTGTTTTTCGGAAATGCGCAAGTGTCTCTTGTGGCTTGGAGATAGCTACATCGCAATTGCTCCGCGAACCAAGGGCGTAAAAATTCTTAAAACAACACCACAGGAAATTGGATAGAATCTATAAGAATTATGACTACAATTATGCAAACTACGATCACAAAACTTACGTGGTATTCTGTTTTCAACCAGTAGATGTTACTCTGACGTACAGTTGCACTCAACTCATTGAAGCTCTCTGGATTGAATTGAAAGCTCACTCGCAAAGATTACTTGTGGGTTGTGTATATAGACCTCCTGACGTTACATCTTTCTTTGATGAATTCAACCAAGTATTGAGTACAATTTGGATGTCTCGCAGGAATGTTGTGATCGCTGGTGACTTCAATTCAGATCAGCTTGCTACTAATGGAAATGGTGCGAAATTCAAACGCATCTTACAATCTTATAACTTTTGTAACATCATAAAAGCACCCACAAGAACCTCAGCACATTCTAACACTTTGATCGATCTGATTTTGACTATCAATACCTCAAAGGTCTCAAAGTCTGATGTGATTGAGTATTGCATAGCTGATCACAAATTCATCTACGTTATCTACAAGCTGAAGATCAGGAATCCAAAGCCTTTTATTAAATATGTCCACAACTTCAAGAACGTGTTGGAAAACCCGAAAGACTTCAAACATGACCTGGAAAGTGCTCCCTGGTGGGTCTGTTCCACCTTTGAGGACTTGGATGACATCACTTGGGCTTGGAATTGCATGTATAATGTTATTGCAAGCAGTCACATTCCCTTACGTAAAGCCAAGGTTAGAAAAAATTCACTACCTTGGATGAACAGTGAGATCCGGAAAGAGATGAATAAGAGATATAAACTTCTGAAAGCCTGTGATGGCACACCCGCTACTAATAAACTCTGGGTTGATTACAAATCCTCTAGGAACAAAGTATCTAAGATGCTACGACGTGCTGAAGCTCAATATTGGAAAAAGAAATTTACAGAGACCAAGGACTCAAAATCTTTCTGGAAAACTGTGAACGAGGCCACTGGAAAACCTAAGAATAAACATATTGGCCCCCTCAGAGATGCTGAAAATAAGGAAATCACAAATGACTACGAGAAAGCTGAACTGATTAACTCTTACTTCATAAATATTGGCAAGGAACTAGCTGAAAAATTCCCCGAAGCTGATGAACCCCATCAATTCATGTACAGAGTTACCCCCACTGTGCAGGTCTTGGAGGTCAACATCAACAAACTCAAAACTGATATCAAGACAATTAAAATTAACAAAGCATCTGGTCCTGATGGCATCTCTTCTCGTAGCTTAGCTATTGCAGGAACATCCGCCCTAGAGGGCATTGTAACTGTTTTCAAGAGCAGCATGGCTCAGTCCAGCTTCCCTAACACATGGAAGATTGCAAAAGTTAATGCAATCTTTAAAAAAGGAAACCCAGCAGATGTTTCAAATTATAGGCCAATATCACTTTTAAGTATCCCCAGCAAGCTGCTCGAAAGCCAGATCTGCAACATAATTGATACCCATCTGAACAGCTGTGGCATAAAAAGCTGTAAACAGTGGGGGTTTAGCAAGGGACTATCGACTGAAGGAATGCTTACCTCTATGACTGAAGGATGGAAGACAGCAATTGACAATGGTCTGACAGTTGGAGCAGTCTTTATTGACTTCCAGAAAGCTTTTGACACTGTCCCCCATTATATTTTATCGCATAAACTACACGCCATTGGAATATCAGGATCTCTTCATGAATGGCTAATGAGCTATCTTACTGATAGATGTCAATTTGCTGAAGTTAATAATTGCAGGTCGGTCACTGACTATGTGCGATATGGAGTCCCTCAAGGCTCGCTTCTTGGCCCCCGGCTCTACACCATATATGTTAATGATCTCCCTGACCACATCGACTCGGGAGATCTATACATGTATGCAGATGACACTACAGTTTACTGTATTGGACCAAATGTTGACCAGGTTATGTTGTCACTAAATAAATCATTGGAGCAAGTTCTCCTGTGGAGCATTAAGAATCAGCTAACCATCCACCCAATTAAAACTGAAGCAATGATACTAAGTAAAACCTCTTTTGTTGGGCCTATACCTCCCCTCCACTTTAACACTGGCCATATCGACCTGGTTAATTACACCACTTGTCTTGGAGTTAAAATTGACAATAAGCTGACATGGTCTGTGCACATTGACTCAGTGAAGAAATCTTTTACGCAGAAGGTTGGAGCGTTGAAGAGAATGAGAATCCTTCCGAAGAAGGTTCTCGAGGAAATATACTTTAAAACAATTATCCCCAGTGTAACGTATGGAATTTCGGTATGGGGAAATTGTTCTCCTTCCGCACTGAACTCTCTAAACCATATTCATGCAAGAGCAGCTCGTATTGTGAATAACCTCGACTCAACGATGGCAGATGACACATGTCTCATGAAATCCGACTGGCTGCCCATCTCTTACTTCTATAAAAAATCTGTACTGTTTCTCTTGCACAAAGTATATTTTGGAACAACGACCCAGTCGATATGTGAACTGTTTTCTAAAAGAGTTTCTTCTAGATCTTCTCGTGTTCCTAACCAATTTAATGTCATTAGATTTAGATCAGAGACCGGCAGGAACTCCCTACGATACAGAGGTCCTGTTATTTGGAATTTTGTAAATAGATTAGTTAAAGTACCTGAAAGTTTTTATTCTTTTAAACAAATTTTACGTAAACATGTTAAGACTATTGACAATTTTTCATTTGAGAAAGAGGCAACAGTAGTTGCCAACAGAAAGGACCATTTCATTTACTTTTAGATTTATATGTTAGTTTTAGTGAACACCATTTTATTTGTATATAGTAGTTCTAAGTTATTATTGCAATTTTTATATATATGTAATTCTTAATATTTAGTATAGTAGGTCCACATCAGCCCTTTGGCTGCCTTTCACACAACCTACTTATCAAATAAAGAATGTATGTATGTATGTATGTATTCACTTGCTGCTTTGTCATTTTAACTTTAGAAAGCCACAGCCTCTCCAGGTGAGGAACACGGCTGAGATGTTGAGTAAGAACACTTACTCCTTCACCAAGAGGGTTCTCTGACAAGTTGAGGTGTCGCAGGCTAGGAGCCTGGTGCAGAGATCTGGCGATGGCTACGGCAGGTTTGGCTGTTAAATTTATATTAGTAAGTACTAATGTGTGAAATCTGTCAGTGAAGATGATACGAGACACCAGGGTCTCTGTCAACTGAGCATCAATGATTTCAGAGGGTTTACCAAAAATACTTAACCATAGGAGAGCAGTGAAAAGTGGTAAGAAATCAGCCAGCATCTTTATCTCTTGCCTTTCTATGTCTTCAATATAAATCTGCTTCACACAGGAAAGGCTCTCAGGAGTAGGACCAGTGATTCTATCAGTGTTCTGAGTCAAACTCGAAGCTGTTTCGCTGTCGTGTTCATTCAACGGATCAACAAGACGCGTCACCTGAGTAGACTCTGCTGTTGGCGAAATGAGCTCTCGCAGCATTTCAGTCGGAAAAGTGCTACCATGTTTTTCTTTGCGTATTTGATAAACATAAACGACGATTTTCGTCTCTCTCTTCAAAAAGAACTCGCCCACAGGACGACGCGGGAACTTCTTCAGTAAATCTGCGGCTTTCTTTTCGCCCGAACAGCTCAAAAATACAGCATTTGTGTCCTCCGCTACAGTGATCAAGTCTCGATAGCTTTTCTCTGAAGAATCTTTGAAGGGAGGAAAAAAGATAAAGTCGGGTATCATGCCAGATTTAAGGAAATGTTCATTTGCAGTAATGTTCAGCTGGTTAGAATCAAGAGACAAAACACCTCCGGTGCAAGAGGGAAACACTGAGCAGAGATCTTGTCTCTTCTCAGCTGAACAACAAATGTAGCTATGCGAGATAAGCTTGAGATAATGTTTTTGATTTTGAGACAGTATTTCATTCTCCAGAAGCAGCTCACTGTAATCACATTTCGACAAAAATTCCTTTCTTCCAACAGACCCTACATGATGGAAAACTGCGCACGCGGCTTCTGTTGACAGCTCACAAGCAAATTTCAGAACTTCATTCATCTTCACGATCTTTTCAAACGATTCAACTTTGGAAAGGCTAGGCGTACTTTCTCCTTTCATCGACAACACTTCCTCTTTAATGTGCCAGGCTGCAAGGAACTCCTGTACGGATTTATGAATGAAATAGGCCCCTTTCTCAGGATTGAGACTCGTAAGATTGACAATCTGGAAAAGCCCAACTTCACTTAATTTTTCCAAACTTCTTGAAATATTGCCGGGGAGTTTGCTGCAGCGTACGTAAAGACGGTCTTGCAGAAGTGCTTCAAAGGCAGCCTTTCCAATATTACTAAGGTCTTCTCTGGCTTCTGTTGAGGTCATTTTCTGAAATGGCATAGACTGGTGACTTCCACCTTTGTGATCCAGCATGGTTTGAATGAATTGTGTGAATATGTCGGCCCGTGATTTTGGCAGTCCTTCGTGACGTTTCTCTTTCCACAAACTACACAGCATCAGTAAGAGGAGAGGTATTTCTGCCATGTCATCGAGATCTTTTTCTTCCAGGTAGAGCCTAAACTCGTTAAGATCTTCTTCACCTGCCATAAATTTTCTCGCAAAGGTTAATTTTCGTTCCCAGCTTTTGAAACCTTGAATTTCTAACTGAACGTGGCTGGGGCCTCTTAACTCGTCACATTTAAGTTGACGCGTGGTGACAATAACGTGACAATCTCTTAGTTGCTCACCCTTCCAAATTTCAAGGATGGGTGAGTGTTCTTCTGCAAAGCTGTACTCATCGTAGCCATCCAAAATAAGAAGCACTTTATCTTGATTGTTAATTATGTAATCATAGAGGCTATCAACTGAGATGGGACCATCACTGGCCAGCAATTTAGACGCACGCAAAACATCAAGGATGTTTCCTACGTCACACACATCTCGCAACTTAATCAGAATCAAAACAAAAAAGTTCTTTAGGATTTCTTTTAAGGCTTTCGACCAATCATATGCAGCCTTCTTACAAAACGTAGTCTTGCCAATTCCTGGCCTACCATAAACAAGCTTTCGTTTTGGTTTTTCCTTGAACATGTCGGTGTAGTCTTCAAGTTCCTCTTGTGTCACTCCGCTGGGCTTCCTGTGATCTCTGACCAAAAACAAAGGTGTGTAGATCTCATCAAGCTGAATGGAAGAGCTGTCGTCCCATGGAATGATTTTCACCTTGCTAAAGGTGTTGTAATAAGACTTAAGCTGCTCTTGACACTTCTCAACATTCAACGGTTCTAAGAAAAATTAAAAAAAAAGGAATTTAACTTTTATTGAAGGAATAACTATGCACACGATGCCAAGTTTCTAACATCACACGAACTCAAGTACAGCTTTCTCGGCATGAAAGGATTAAGATAATTAACCCCTGCCACCGCCCCCTTCCCCCCCCCCCCCCCCAATCCCGGCAAAAAAAAACCCACCCACACTCTGTTCCTTTATTTTTCCCTTTGTCGGTAGCTCTTTTGAAATTGGAGGGAAGATTAAATTTCCAGCATTTATTTTATCATGGATCAATAATGTTGGGAAAGAAAGCGGCCAAAGTAAAAACAAAAAACTTCATGAATTTTTATTTCGTAAAATTTTGCGCAGCACTTTTTCTTGAACAAAAATGACAAATTGGTATAAGAAAAGGGAAAGGAAAGAAGTATGACTGTCTTGTCACGAGCGTGCGACAAAGGAAAAATTTTGAGTCTTCACCAGGAATAGAACCTAACACCTTCAGATTCTGCGATCGGACACTCTACCGCTATAAGTATAATATAAGTTATTAAAACGAAAGCTTGGTATGAAATTTCTTCACTTGATAATTATAATACCTGCTAGCCTTCTTCGTTTTCTTTCTGAAGGATCATCTCTTTTACAACTCTCCTCTCCCGTCGAATTGTCTGCTAAAGATAAAAGAAATTTATACTATTATGAGAATTAAAATACACTTCACTAAATTTGTGAAATGGGTAACAAGCAGGAGTCGAGATAAGTGCTGATTGAAGATGAAAATCTCGTGTGAGCCTGATCACGGAATAAAAGAGAAAAGGAAAATTATCTGACTTGAAGCATTGAAATTCATTGGGAGGGAATAAAAGCTAAGATTTAGATCTCATCAATGTTTTAAACTAGTCAGTAACAGTGAGGTATTTCCCAGAAAGGCAAATAAAGAAAATTTGGGGTCATCTTACTGCGCAAGAGTCTGGAGGGAAGTTGATAAGCGTGTTTAATCAACGATTTGTAATACCTATGATCAAAGACGAAAGATAAAAGATTTAATTTAAGACTAATGAAATACAAAGACAACGCAGAACGTTATCCATGACCTCAAAATTGGAATTAGAACTACTTGAGTGAATTTTAACAGCAATGCGATTGAAAAACAAAGAATGCCTATGTTTATCAGTTTTCTGATATATATTTAACTCCACTGTTGGTCTTCAAGTTCTCATAAGCTGCTCACGTTATTCTAAACGAACAGAAGATACAGTGACCAAAAAGCATGGTGTCTGTGAATTTAGGCACTGTACCTGTATGTAATTGTATTTTAATTGAATTGCAAGCTAAGTGATATATTACCAGTGATAAGTTGCTCAGCTAAATCTGTGCGATTAACCAGTGGATGACACAGTGCATCATGTAGGATCGTGTATGTTGCAGTTGAGCCATTCCCCTCTTTCCAATGTAGTAACATTTTGTAGATTTTTTCAGAGCATCCCCTATTTTCATCATCAAACGCCGTTAATCTTGCTTCGTCAATTTTTAGACGACGCCCGACTGTCTTCCAATTTTCGAGTTTCTGCGAAAGCCACTCTAAATCTTCGTCGCTGGGAACTCCTTGCTTCACTAAAAACATAAAGACATCACAGCAAAGTATCAAGATGAGGGGATAGCGAGTAGTACGTATCGCAACTATTCATGCCATTTTGCTGGATCCACGTATTTTTATTTTACAAAGGCAGGGGGAAGGAAGATGAGGTTTGGGGGTGGGGGGTTAACGGGCACGCCCATAGATATGTCCTCATTTTACCTGCCAAACGAGCTTTTCTTTTCTTCGGAGTTAAGGCGTCACTCGGAGACGACTCTTCATCACGGCGTTTCACCTTCGGCCGACGAAAATGTTTGGTAGCACCACCTGCACGATAATAAATGTAAAAAAAATTATTAGACCAGAACGTATTATTTGAGCCAAGAGATTCATTGAAGCAATGGAGCCTTTTCCTTTCCTAATGAAACGTCTCCTAATGAATTTGTTTCAAGGCCAATTCGCGCCATTGCATTATGTATCCCTACTGTGCATCATGTTACACAAAAAATGCACGTCCACATACGCGAACAGAAATATATCTGTAACCTTACGCTTACAGTTGGCAGTTGACATATTGCAAAGATGGCCGAAATGAAAGCAAAAACAAACAGCTTGATAAATGTTCTCTTCCCTTCATTAAAGGGAACATTACTCTTTGGGTCTTCCATTAGTGTGCATGGAGACTAAACTTCTTCCCAGCTCGAATTTGCCCAAACGAAACATAAAGTATTGACCAGGTTCATTCAATAATTTTGAAATATACAACGTTCATCATTTTCTCAGCAGTTTCCTTTGATGATAGCGCACTCAGCGAAGGGATCATGTGCTACAGAGACAACTCATGGCACTTTAACAAACAAGGTTTCATGTATAAAACAACAAATTTGCTCCAACATAACTTGCAAGTTCATAAGGGTTAGCATCCATTTCTAACAGGAGTTTATTATAGGATTACTCTTACTAGTATTGACAAATGTGAATCAAATGTTCAGTTAGCAATGATAATTTGGTTTCATTAACTGAGTTGATAATGTAAATTGGCCTCTGTAGAGAGATTCTGAAACTGATGTTTCGAGCGTTAGACCTTCGTTGGACCGATTAGGAAATGTGGGTTGGGTGTGATTTATAAAATGGGGGTTGGGCTGGGGGGAAGGGAAGGGGGGTTAAGGCAGGAGTTTCTAGGTGTATTATTGGGGGGTCGGTGGTCTTCTTCCCAGAGGGAAAATGCTATCAAACATTCAACGGTTCCAAGAAATATTTAAGAAAAAAAACAGGAATTAACTTTTATTGAAAGAATAAATATGCACACGATGCCAAATTTGTAAAACAACACAAACGCAAGTTCAGTTTCCTTGGCATAAAAGGATTAAGGTAATTAACCCCTGCCGCCGCGCCCCCCTGCAAAAAACAAACCCACACTCTGTTCATTAAGTTTTACCTTTCTCGGTAGCTCTTCTTAAATTGCAGGGAAGATTAAATTTCCAGCATTGATTTCATCATGGATCAATAATGTTGGGAAACGAAGCGGCCAAAGTAACAACAAAAAACTTCATGAATTTTAATTTCATAAAATTTTGCGGAGTACTGTTTCTTGAACAAGAATGACAAATTGGTAGAAGAAAAGGAAAGAAAAGAAGTTTGACTTTCCTGTCACGAGCGTGAGACAAAGGAACAATTTTGAGTCCTCACCAAGAATAGAACCTAACACATCCAGATTCCGCGCTCGGACAATCCACCACTTTAAGTATAGTATAAGTTATTAAAACGAAAGCTTACTATGAAATTTCTTCATTTGACAATTACAATACCTGCTAGCCTACTACGTTTATTTTCTGAAGGATCATCACTTTTACAACTCTCCTCTTCAGCTGAAATGTCTGCAAAAGGGAAAGGAAAGTCAAACTGTAATGAGCATTAAAACATGCCTTATTAAATTTGTGAAATGGGTAACAAGCAGGAGTCGAAATAAGAGCTGATTGAAGATCAAAATCTCGTCTCTAAAAGAGAGAAGAGAAAATTGATGGACTTCAAGAATTGAAATTCATTAGAACGGAATAAAAGCTAAGATTTAGATCTCAACAAAGTTTTAACCCGCTCAGTAGCAGTTAGGTATTTCGTAGAAAGGTAAACAAAGAAAATTTGGGTTCATCTTACTACGCACAAGAGTCTGGACACGAAAACAATAATTAGGAGGGCAGGGGGATAAACTCTCCCTAATCTGGAATTTTAGAACCCTATCCATGACTACAAAATTGGAATTAAAGCTACCAAAGTGAATCTGCTCATATCTCAGACTTTTTGAAAGTTCTTTTTCACAGCAATGCGATTGAAAGACAAAGAATGCTTATGTTTTTCAGTTTTCTGATATATATTTAGCTCCGCAGCGGCTCTCCATGTTCTCATCAGCAGATAACGATACTCTCTACAAAGGACAACAAGCAAGCGTATCAGGAAATGGTCTATTTTTCTGGCTCAACTTTTCCATTAAGCATCAAATAAAAGCCCTTCTGTAATTGGTAGTCCTGAGGGACTTTGGCCGAAGGGAGGCGGAAAAGCTCGTAACTCATCGGGAAAATAATGGGAGTGACAATTTTTCCTGCATAGGGGGAGTGGGTAGTGTAAATATGCACCAGTTAGATCAATCTCCATCGGCGCACCCAAGGGTATACTTGACCCTCGATGAGCGCATTGAGCCAAAGGTTCGTAAGTTTAAAAACAATTAAAGTTATCCTTATTGCAGTGACTCATTTAAACCACCTCTCTCTATATGCAAGTCAAGTCGCCTTGTAAAAAGTCAACGCACAAAAATATTTTTTGGTCTTACTACTGATGATAAATGCAATCGAAAATGACTGTTTTCTGTAGAGAGCCTCGAGGCATTAAAGACCTTGTTTCTAGCGCACAGCTGTTTTCAAACAAGGCGCTCATTTTTTAGAATCAACATGTTTACTTAACTGAGGCGTTGAGAACAATAGGAGGATTGGGGGTTTTTAGCTACGTCAAATTTAAATTTAAGGGCCTATCGGCCAGAGTGTTTTATTATCAGGAATTGTGGGATAGGGGGGTTAAAATCTTCCAATGAACCCTTGAATACCCCTTTCTAAGTATAAAGAGGGTCGTAAAGGGGTGTTGGCATGGCTTTTACGGCTAACGGTTAATATCTTTTCATTGTTGTCACCATAAATTTTTCTTACAGTTAACTCTTTTACGACTAGCAGTTACGATTTGTCAATTTTTACGACGAACGGCTAATTTTTTGGCCGTTTTACGGCTAACGGTTAACTTTACAAAGACCTTAATGAGAGGGAGATATGGAGA